AGGAAGAATGAGCGCTGCGAGTCCGGGCTCTGCCTCGAGCGCTCCCCCCCCCCTCCTCTCCGCCTTCTGCCACTCCCACGCGCGACGAATTTTCGCGCACGCAATTTTAGGCATCTTCCAGTACTCCGAAATATGCTTGTCCAGAATTTCCGATTTCTAAGTGTTAACATTTTACTTTATTGATCTTGTTAATTATTTTAATGTTCCGAACACCTAATTTATTAATATTTCAATTTGAACGTAATTTACTTTCGATATTCTACAATTTCAATTCAACTTTCAACTACTCCGTATATTCTGCGAGATTTTAATTTAGACTCGGTTTTATATTGAGAATAAATTTTGAAAGTAAATCAAGATCCAATAACATTTAGTAAAAATTGAGGCGCTACACGGGTTTCAAGTTGGGGCCGCATTTTCTTGAAAATATCTTAAAAATGTTTCAAGAATAGGCTTTTTCAATAGTTCTTGAGAAGTTCTACAGTTCCCGGTCTCGTTTCAAGAGTTCCTGTGGGAACCAGCGGTGAGTAGCGGAGAACCTCTGCCCACCAAGCTACGCGTTCGTGTTTACATCTACCTCGGCTACGACGAGATTCACATTGTCGACGGAAGCGATAATCACAAAATCCTACTTCTGGACTCGCCCCTACGATTTAGCGCCATGTTTTTGGTATCGCCTGACACCGTGCGTTGTGTATTTCCCTATGTATCTCTGTTACTCATCTTTTGTCTGACAGAGATGGTTCTGATATTCTCTTACAGTTTTTCTTTCAATGAAAAAAACTTTACCTTCGTCCGTTTCAGTTTCCTAATAATGTCATTTCACGCAGTCACAGAAATGATGCCAGATTTAGCGTACTGACCTTCTTTTCAATCATATTTTTCTGGCTATATTCATTTAACCCCCCGATGAAGCATTTGTCGATAAGGAAGTTTGTGAGATGGCGTTGATTTAAATTATTCTATCAGTGTTTTATCTTTCTATGATTCCAAAGTCAGTGGAAGCTGCAGCGCCGCGGTGCATTGGCAACGATGTGTTTGCCTGGGTGCGTTTCGATAATCACAAAACCATCTTTGCTTTTCATCACAGTCATTGTCAGTTGAGGTTAAAAATAGTAATTATTAACTATAAAGTACTTAGGGTAAAGTCTATCGTGTGGTGCATTAATCAGATGATGGGTAACGAAGAGATTACACGTAAGCTGAAAAAGTGCCTGGTTTCGGTTCTGTCAGGGACTGGTGAAGAAGTTATTGAAGGATGGAAGGAACTGAAGGAGTTAGAAGGAACCCTTTGGGAGTCGAGGGGACTTGGCGACTTCGAGACTATTTTGAGAGACATACTTCATAGACAAGACAAAAACATTTATGAAGTACCACGTTTAATGGCATGGTTTGCCAAGTATCTGCCGGAGAGAACTTTTGATATAGATCCGATAAGCAACGATGTTGCTATCTTTTTGAGAAATGTAAATACTGGAGATATATCTCTGCTTACTACCATGGTACAGACTGTGTTGGAACACAAGAGATACCTGCCAATTTCATCAAATCATACTAAGCTGTGTGAGGCGATTGTCATTCATCTGGCATCAATACCAATGCCTGTTGAACGAGAAAAGATATCTGAATTCAATGAGAATGCTACTAAGATTCAGAACTTTCTGGCATTAGTATGGACAAATGTAAAGGGCATGGAGAAGTATAATCTGATTGTCGTATGCTTGGAAACATTATACAAAATTATTTCGGACACTGAAAGAAGGCAGGAACCTGGACCAGCATTAGTTGTTGTACTTCAGTCTGTAGAACCAGCTGTTATTCCTCCAGCAGTAACTAGAATTCTTATGGAGTGTTCCAGTGATTATCAGCTTGCACAGGCACTGAAGGTACTTTGTGTATGGTTACGCATGTGGCTTCGTGGTGATCGCTTAAGTCTCTGGGTTAAAGAATTTATACGCGGCTTAGAAGCAGATCGCAAATTCTCAGTACTTTGCGAAGTCCGGGATGTAACTCTTGAACGGATGATTAGTACTTTGTTACTTCCAATGTTCCGTCAAAACTCAGCTGACATTGTGTTTCACATGCTGGAAAGATTGAACTCTCCAGTATTGTTTCATAAAATACTCAAAGAGATTCAAAATCTTTTGCCACGTTTATCTAAGGATACGTCTGAATCTGCTAAGGAATGCATACAAAATCTAGTGGATGTAACAACGGCGCTGACAATGCGATTTCCAGGATATCATATTTATGAGAATTTGGCCAACAGTTTCCCAGTGCCACCACAAATGAGAATGGTCCATTCAATTATTGAAGGGCCGGTATGGCCCGAGGGCAATGAGTTTGAACCTCAGATAAACTATGGTATAAATTCTGAAAATGCAAGCCTCACAGCCGTAAGCAGTATATGTCAGACAAACTCAATGGGCCACGTGGGCTTGATTAATTTAGGAAACACATGCTATATGAATAGTGTACTTCAAGCTCTGACAATGACTAGACAATTTTGCCTGGAAGTATTAAATTTCAAACCATCGAGTGATATTGGTGAACAAAGCGTTCTGAGAAAGTTACAGAACTTATTTGTCTTGCTCTCATACTCCAAAAGGACTTCTCTGGCACCGACAGAAATCTTACTCGCCTCACGACCTGCCTACTTTATGCCTGGACAGCAGCAAGACAGCTCTGAATTTCTCTGGTTAATATAATGTACCTATATTGAATGTTGCTTGTCGCAACTATAACTATATACACTTCATGGTTATTTCATTCATTTTCATTATTATAAGTCTTCTGTGTCACATTCTCTTTTATATCAGTGCTTTCTCTATAATTAATACACGCTAACTTTCTCATCTTCGCCACAAATAATAATTGTCGTATTTAACGAATAATCATTCGCATAATACAAAAGAACAACAGCTAAAAGCCAAACACTTTTCTTCGACTAGTCATCTGCTGGATGTGTTGTACGAGCAAGAAAAGGCTGCTAATATACCCTGCAACAGCGGCGACCCGATGACCATCCTAAAGTCTAAAGATGAAGAGCAGTTAGGTGAAATGGTAGCGGATACAGGTGAATCTGGTGGAGTAATAAAACGTTGGACAACCGAAGAAGATTTAACTGGCGGTGGTGCTCTTCAAAGAAAGACTCAATCACTAGCAGACTTTACACAAGGTAAGATAGAGTGATATAATTCCAAGGAATAAAATCCTAACATAAAATACAAACTGATACATTATCCATAATTTCCCAGGTGAAGATTTAGCACAAACACAGCATCTCAGCGACTCCCATTCGGATTCTACCGACAGTGGAATACAATCTGTTGGAGGAGAAGATACCAGCAGCACGCAGTCCTTCATGGTTCACCGTGTGTTTGGCGGTGAATCAAAAATAACATACCAGTGTGCCCAGTGTGACACTAGTTCTCACAATACTGACAAATTTCGCGACTTGCAGTTGTGCTTCCCTGAAGAAATAGCCGAGAACCAGGACGTCTCGGTTCAGGATCTTATAAACTACTATCTAACCCCGGAAAAATTAACCGGAGATAACAAATATCGCTGTGACAAATGTACAAAGCTTTGCGACGCGCAGAGAATGATAAAAGTACTCCAAGCTCCATTCCATCTGATTCTAACGTTAAAGCACTTCCATTACGATTCTGAAAGCCGATTACGAACAAAGCTACGTCATAAGGTTACCTATAATGAGACTATACAATTGCCAGTCTCCACGATGTCTTCCATGACTACGGAGACTTATAAACTTTACGCGGCCGTGGTTCATTCTGGTTATAGTATGGATTATGGTCACTATTTCACGTATGCTCGTGATTCCAAGCAAAATTGGTATATATTTAATGATAGTTATGTATCTAGTACAACTTTGGAGGACTTTAAAAATTTAGAACCGCCCGATACGCCATATATATTGTTCTATGAAAAAGTAGCATCTTCGGAGGGTCTTTACGATGAGGAGAAACCGGAATTGTCGACACTCAGTAAAAACTTACAGGATCTAATTGCTAGCGACACTGCAGCTTATATAGAGGAGTTGAGACTCCAAGCTAGTAAAAAGAGATCACAGCGTGGACGCGTCTCGACGAATTACATAAGACGACACGACAATTCGGATGATGAAAATCCACCACCGAGTAGTTGTCGCGGAGCCGTTGATATTCCTGCAAATCATTTTCTATTTTGAAGAAATATCCTACTTAGGTATTTGCCTTTATGAATATGTCGCGACGCCACCGGAAACATTGAAGATTTTGAATTATTTATTTTCGAATTTTTAATGAATTACGCTCGAAATTATCATCCAACCATCTCATAGTCAATAGTAACCAGTAAACCGTCGCGAATGGTGCATTTTCATTGGAAGATTCAATGATACTTGGCGATATTGTGCTGACGCTCGATTAGAACAAAATCGCAACGATAATGGCGAAGTTGGGTGATACGAGTTTCTAGATATGCAAGTTCTCCCGACCGACCCTGTTTGTTATAATACCTAAACGATATTCAAAGGACGATCACTTATCGGTATAGCTAATTGGTCGGCCAATTCGTTATTGTGATTTACATAGTGTTATACAATTTGCAGGTTTTCAACGCCCATAAGATAATTTTTTAACAACACAACCAAAGGGTTTGCATGATCAGATCTAATTGTAGGTGTCGTGTGAGCCACGTGAACGTAAAATTCAAAATCTGAGCAAAAGATTATGTATATTTGGATCAGATGGATCGAATATGCCATCCAAGGAAGTTCATGTATCCTAATTATCATCTGATCAATTTAAGTCAATTGGTACAAAGGAGGTCAGAGTCTGGCGATAATACACAATTTTTGTTATTTTTTTTATCATCACTGGTGTTGTGTTCGATTTTATTAATATAATTATTTAATTAAATTGCACATACGTCTATTTTCGTGCGTGAAAGTCACGTATGCTAATTTTATATGTACGTACATGCATATTCGATGTCTTTGTTGCCGATCAGTACAATAGATTCCCCTTCGATAAAATGTATTACCCGAATTATCTGCAATTTAATCTAGAAATAATTGAAAGCTACATTTTTATTATTCACGCCGCGTTTCATAAGCTTGTATCGTTTATAAATATCCTAATCGTTAAACACTGTAAACTATCGTTATTTAAATAATTATTTATTTCTTAGGGAAAGACACTTATTATATGCGGATGAGCATACAGTTAATTATGACTTTCCAAAGTTCAGTGGCAATCGCGATTTTTGACGTAATATAAGTTGACGATTGTTTTTTTTTTATTTAACCGTCGATCATATCGACGTCCAATTAATTGTAATAGAATGGAACGTTATCGATAGAATGAAATGAATCACGTGCTCCGCAACTCAAATTGAACAGATGAAAACGAAGATCGTCATTATTGTACATAGTTGTATTTTATATGTAGTAGTTAAATTGAAGATCCTAAAACATGAAGGAAATCTGTGATAAATTTATACTGTCACATTGACAATATTAATTTCTTATTGCAGTATTCGATGAGATGGACGTTCGCAATTATTCGTTCTGATTTACAATCGAAACGCATATATATATACATACTAACTAATCATTTTTGTTAATCCGTGTACATTTCGTAGTTATCCATAATGGATAGAAATAAATTATTCAAAACTATGATTCCCTCGTAAATTATGTCTTTAATTTAATCTCTTCGATATTGTTGCCATACGAACGCAGATATAAGTACGGGTATCCCTGATTTCAACTTATGGTCAGAAGTACGAATGTACCATATCACTAAAATAAAATTTCACAAAGTGTTATTCTCTTGAAATGCCGATGCATCGAAAATACAATATTCTGTTATGCAGGTGCATATTTGAATATAATACAATCGTATTGTATTTTCGATACATCGATATTTCAGGAAAATAATCATTTATGGATTTTGTTTTAGTGTTATGGTACATTCGGGTTTCTAACGCGTAGTTGACTTCATGGATACTCGGTAAGTCTACGCAGAGATGAGTAGGGAGATGCACAAAACAGACGGTATACGTCATTGTTCAGTTCCTCATGAATTTCTTATTTGCATGTCAAGCTTGTTTAATGTTACGCCCCGTGAAAAACTTTTTGGAAAGTTGCTAATTATACTTTCAAACATTAATACAGTTTACGGTACATTATAAAGATTATAGCGTAATTTACAAAAATTGCCAAATTCGATAATAATTTGGTGGAATTTTAAAACTGATTCAATTACTCCAGTACCAGATAATAAGTCTTTTGATTAAATCACCATATTTGATTACACCTTTATCGATCATAATTATCATGGGTTTATCTTTATTTTCTACTAATTGTTATTTCAATTTCATCATGATGAAGCTTGACACAAAGGTCAATTCAGAATGCCCGTCTGCGCGACTTTATTCTCTTAACCTAATCTTGCGACGTACAATCAGTTAATACAGAGAATAAGGTTGCCCTGACAGACATTCTAAACAGTATTGCAGCACAGGCGGTTATTGACGGATTAGATAGAAAATATTTTTTATCGGGGAAGCGTAAAAATTGATGCTAGTGTGATTGATGCGGATTAGTCTCTGGATGCCTGGTCTGGTGTACTGACCCAACATCTCCATCTTGATTTTCGTCCGCGAAGAAGAAAAAAGAAATGATGGAGTAAAATCGTACTGAAAATCAGATTAGACAATTTTTAAGGTTAGTTACGTAACGCACATTACGTGTTGCATCAATATGACATCAATCTAATAAGCTAATGCAAACGCACCTTGTCAGTATTTTGCTCATGAACTTTCTTACGGTTGTTAACGCATTGCTAGTAAATTTGTAGACGCTTTGTTATCCGGGATTATGAGGAGACTTAAATATACAGTATTTGTGGTAAAGGGGAATTTAATATAGTAGAGCTCTATTGATTTATTTATGACTATCGGGTACTGTCTACTATCCCAGATAGTGTATGATATTCTCGGAGTATCCTAATTTAATCTTCAACATTCGAAACATGTAGTCAATATCAATTCAGTCATCAATAATTAATAATGTCATGCTGGTCAAAATTATAAAGGTGCTGTTATGGTGTTAATGTTACCCTCTCTCTTTCTATACATATATATACATACATAAACTATACATATATCCACTCTGTGTCACAATGATACATCTGGATAGGCAATAAATATCCTGAAATATATTGATTGATATTATTATTTAAATGCTCTTCATCAATCAATGTACGAGTGTTTGAATGTATAGTATTGCTGAATAAATATTATATTAGGATAATGATTATTCATTCTTATATACTAGATACCTAACGTGAAAATAAGATTAGCTGAATTATTTAAATGCACTTGTCGTTACGTGTATAAATAATCATCAATTATAGATTAAGTCTACTAAACAGTACGAAATGCTTAACCACTTGCATGCCTATACAAACAGACAAAAAATATTATATTAAAATATCAATCCATTTGACACGACATACCTATACATTTGTATTATATTTAGTACTGAATATTTAATGACAACTTGTACGTGAAATATTTCATAGCATATGTGTACTTACAGAGCCAATTAGATTAGTCGGTCTATATAGTATATAGACATATGACACAGGCTAGTGTTAAAATCAATTAATTACTATCATGTACCAATTACACTATGGCAATAGATTTGCGACCTTCAGATAGGCATGATGTCTGTTGAATTTCGACAGGATAAACTTTTCATTTAATATAACATATCCGTTAAGTATACTTCTAGAAGTCTGTATCTCTTTTTGTGGAGCTTGCTTATCGATATAAGATACTACGTGAGCTTGCATAAAGTCGTGGAGTAAAATCCAATGAAAAAAAAAAAAAAAAAAAAAAAAAGACGAAAGTCGTTAGTGTACAGGATGAGCGTGCATTCCTGTTCTTGTCTCGTTATAAAACTACTACCATGACGCTTACTGGCAATTCATCTTTCCGACAGTTGCGGTACTAATTAATTTCAATTCTCGATCAACGTCAGTGTTAATTACGCAAAAGGGAGCTTTGCGACGAGATACCGTGTTTAGCTCGATTCTCCATAAAATTCATTCAGACCGATTTTAAGACGAGTAAAACGAAGATACGAAAATACCAAGGGAAACTTTTCTCCCTTTTCTTCGCGTTCCTATTGTATTTCTTAGACTTCCATCTATTCGTTCATTTTCCATTGGGAAATTCGACATCCGACGTGAAACGTGGCCTTTTATTTAGCTTTGTTGGGGCTTGTTGAGTCTAGGAAAGTTCCTGTCCATCGGAGCTATTCGAAAAATATTTACTTTGTGTTATTCTATACGCAGAATGTACGTGGGATGAGAATAAAAAAAAAATTCGTTACGTTCAACAGCAAAAAACTGGTATTCCCTTGGTTTTCTATGGAATCAATAAAATTTCCATGGTTATCTCGTGCCATCTGTTTTCTCTGCGTATAAGTATACTCTTCGGAAAAAACTTGTCTATTCGAAAACCTGCCTGTCCCGTGACGTGGTACGTGGGATAGGTACACTGTATCTGTAAATGACAGAATTCATTATAAAACAGTGACATAGATAATTTATTGAAAATTTGCAAACAGTGATCATCTAAATAAAATTAATGTCTATACAAACAGGTACCAGAAATCTTATTACAGTCAATACATAATAGTAACGTACATTGCGAGTAACGCATCTTGACACGCGACTCCGCAAGAGATGATTCATGCTGGTTAATTGCCTTAACGTTTATCCGTCTGTTAGAGGAAGTCCTAGTTATCCTGAAATCAAGAGAAGAATCGATTACACGAATAGCCCCGGCTTCGTTACACGTGGCTGACAATTGAGAAGTGCATATTTCTTTAAGAATTAATCTCATTTCCTTAACGCGAATAGTGACTCTGCTACTTTTCAAAGCAGTACGGTGATTAATGTAATCGCACGTATGTTTAGTCCGTCGGAAATTCTTTTGAGAAATATACCTTTTTTCTTACACTTAAAAAAGTTCCTTTGAAGAGTCAACGAGCTTGTGCTAAGTCGGTCAGAAGTTTGGGGTAACATGTATCGATGCCATGGAGAAATATTTAATGGGGCGTTCACAAATTTCTTGTATGCTACAGTCAAATGAATCTCGTACCATAGCATAATTACAAAGTGATTTGTTGTGGTATTAGCCGTGACGATTGCTTAAGCAATTATGATAGATGTTACTCGGTAAATTTTTGGTAGCAGCTCTCCCCACTTTCTGCGTATCATGACAGTAGACAAAATGATGGACTGTTCAAGTCATTAGCACGAATTATCAACGTCCATAACAGAAATTATTACGGGTTTATTTACAGAAGCCACGGCAGTGAGAAAAATGAGGGTAAATTTCGAAATGTATTCGTTCCCACAGGGCCGAGAGGGTAGACGTTATTTACAAAGGGAGAGTGGAAGTGGAGGCAAAAAAAAAAAGGTTTCTTTTTGTGTAGCGGGAGGGTGTGAAAAATGTTCGTCATCTAGAGGGCCGTGGCGCACGTTTCTGACAAGTTGAGTATAAAATTCAACGCGATATGAGAATTATCGGTATATCGATCGCAGAACTCTGCGCCGACAGGCTGAGTTTATTGTCCACTGGGCACGACGAGAGATTTTCCCAAATTTAATGAAACCAAGGCTGGACGGTCAGAGGGTGACCATATCTCTGCTATATAACACGTTAAGCTTGTAATAATTTTTCAAATTTAACCCAGTCTCGCCTATTATTGTTTGACCATACTTTACGTAAGGGATGCTTTATGCCCATCACCCCTTTATGACAAAATATTATTACCTATACGCAGGGGCTTACCTAAACACAAACCCTTATCCACGCTTTTTTATAACTTATGGCTAGGCTACTACAAAAGGTTGGTCCGAAACAATCGTAAATCGTTGAAATAACAGTTTTTGGGGTAGCGAATTCGCAACGGGTTAGAATGCCCCGATAGGGATGATTTGCATAACCGCGTGCAGGAACAAACACATTACATGAACATTCTCGAGAACCACAGTTAACGGGCGTGTGGTACTTAACAAACATTTGATCAGTCTAACAAGATTGTATCCGCGAAGACAGTCCGCCATTTTGATAGATCAAACAAGGTATATCAAACATTTAAACAAGTTTACAATGGGTCTTTAGCCTTCTGTGAGCTTAGGACGACCCTAACGGAATATCCTACAAGTTTTCAGGTACTTGCGACTGTGAGTGACTCGTGTTCAATTATAATCATATAGCACTGTTCGTAATCAAATGAAACAATTACCGACGAGTCGGTTAAGTAATTATTAAACGCATAAGAAAATACTAGCCCTGTCACAATAATTGCCAATATAAAAGTTCTACCAAGATAATCTTCACGGGTTTGTAGAAAGCTTCTAGAACATTATACAATTGCTATGAATTACTCCACGGTATTGCTAATGATACCTTTGAGTATGTCGCATCCGGTATTAATTTATTGGTCCAGAGTTTCCCGTCCGCGAAGGATACGTTCCCAAATATTCCTTCGTTCAATTGTTTAAGTACTACGACATCGATCAACATCCATCCAGGTTCTAAACTGTCTCTTTTTTTTTTGGTCATTCATTGTTAAATATAACTATGGAGAATTGAAGTTTAGAAAACAGTCTTGTCCACTGCGACTAGCTTAGGTACGGCGTGTGGAGTTTTGTATTTCATGTGGGGGTGGCACACGTTGCTCCTCAGGTTTGAGGATTACCGCCGTTGGTCTCCGCGGTCGAGGATCGATTGCTCGTCGAGGAGATGAGTAGCAGAGTAGCAGTATCCACTGCGGGTGGCATTAGTTGGCATGGAGCTCTGCCGAGTTCAGTCTCTGGGGTCCACCTGGTCGTAGTGTCGACTATGGCGATTTCTGAAAGAAAAAGTGAGAGAGCAAGAAAAAAATTTCAAGAAGATATATGGATTTTGAATTTCCCGCCAATTGTCGAGTACTAAAATATTCATTGTGTTGCGTCGAGAAAGAAATAAATTTAAATACGAACAAATAAGGGAACTCACGTTAAATTGATACATACCGCGTACTCTAAGCATTTAATTTTCTATAGGAATTAAATTGGCTAACCTGACTTTTCTCCCTGACTCTCGGCGGACGGAGTATCGGGGAACTGCACGTGTTTCCTCGAAGCTTTACCCACCGTCGGACTCTTCTCCGAAGCCAAGGTGGTTTGTACAGCCGTCGGGCTTTGGGTAGGTGTGGCTGTCGCTGTCGCCCTAGTCTCGTTATTCGTAACCGCCCTCCGTGAACTCAGACACGAGGTCGCCGTGGTGGTAGGTTGAACTGCGTATCGGACTGCTGGAATCTTTAAATAAGGATATCGTTATTTTTCTTTTTAAACTTTCGCAAACTCGACGACTGTTTCCGACGTCTTTTAGATATCGTGAAAAATTGACCTGCAGCGCGTCATCGCGATCTTTAAGGTTTTAAGGTTAAGAAAGAGTTAAAGGTTAATTAGAGGCTTAAAGAAGAACTCCTCGTGGATAGAGGAGAAAATGAAAGTTAAGAATTAGATTGTCAGAGTCATGGACGAAGGACCGAATTAAAATAGGAGAAATGTCAAAGATCTTCAAGTAACCTTTGGTATTAACATTTTTCATAAAAACTCTTCGGGTCCAAGGATAAAGGCGTATACGCATTTATTCGATATGAAGGACAAATCCTATCTGGAATTTTTATAAAATAAGGTTCGGATTCACCCTTAACGCTCGACCTCGTGGGATATGAATGGTCCGTTACGTTTGCCAATTACGCCGAGATTGCATGTATAGGGTGTGAGAAAGGTCTTCTATGGGTTTCTCACGTGTTACTTCATTGTTAAATCAAACATCAGTCAATGGACAATTACACGTTATACATCATCGTGAAAACGTGACAGGCCGTTACGAGGTAAAACTTAGATGTTCGATCGAGAAAAGAAAATTGTGAAAAGTTAAAAAAAAACACGACTAAAAAAATGTATTCATCGAATCTGCGTGTAAACTGAGAAATAGTCTGATCGATGAAATTTTACAGAATTTCGATAATAACGTATATTCGAGTCAATGTAAATATGAGAAGTAATTAGAAAAAAAATTTTTTCACCTCGATGAATATCAAACCTGAACAAGGTCTGGATTAGATAATAGAATTGTCTATGTGGTTTAAATGCAAGAACTGTAAAGCTCCTGTCTCTCTCTCTCTCTCTCTCTCTCTCTCTCTCTCTCTCTCTGATTTAACTAACCTCATTGGCAAACCCTATACAAGGTCCTATCTGCATGTGCAGACGGTACTACGTGTTTCGCTGAATTCTCAGGTGGCAAAATCGTCAATTCCACTCACAGCATTTTAAGGTCGTCCGCACGTATGGGATCGCGCGGATAGACGTTTCAAAGTTTCATCCCTTTTCACGGAGTCCCTTCACATTTATATGAAAAACGTATAACTGGAAATCGGTGAAAGCCGCTTTTAGGATTTTCAGGTAAGTTCAAATAGAGCTTCCCAGAGCGCTTTTACGTTTGTGCACGTGCAAGTATATAGGTATATACTATACGTGTGCGCACATAGTTAAATTAATCCACAGCTTCATCATACAACTGAACCAGTCGTACCTCTCGTAACGTAAAGAAATTTTCTTTAATCAAAAATATTCCTTACTTTCTTTTTTTCCAAAAACTACAAAATCAAAGAGCAACGAAAACGGGAAAAACGAAATTGGCCGTTTGCACGAAATTATTAACGCCTACGGAGAGACGTTTGTTTTTGCAGATAGCTGCGAGCTAAAACCATGCAGATAATGGAAGATGCCTATTTAAAAAAAAAGGTGGATCGTCGCTTTGCCGCCGACGGGGGGTCAGATTGGTTTTTCCAAAATCGAGGATGCTGGGATAAATAGGGAGAATTTCTTAAAACGTATTTGATTAATAAGTCATGCAGTACGAACCTGTAATAATATTCGCGAATTCCTATCTACGCGAAATCTCTGATAAATCCGCCTAAAATTTATGTACAACACAGTATATATATATATACACATAAAGAGAGAGAGTATACATATAGCTGATGCATATTGGCGAATTACGGAGCTCTTTGGTTACTGATTAATTTACCGTTTAATTATTTCCATACAAATCGAAGCGCTCCCTCTTCAGGAATTCGCCTAGAATGCGAATAAAGTTTTTCTCCATTTTCTCGAATTTCCATCGTGAAAACGTATAATCGATTAAAGCAATATATTTCGCCGGAAAAATTTGTTCCTTCGGACATTTATTTTCTTGTCAAAAAGAAAAAAAACATTTTCGTTCTCTTCTTCGAGTGCGTACGTGTTTACGTTTTGAAAAGGATAAAAAAAAATACTTTGCAGAAAACTACTGGCATCCCCCTCTTGCTTTTTTTGTTGGTAGCTTTCTGTACCATTCGCTTTTTTGGTCCACACCCTTCAGACTTCACTATATTCACTGGTACCATCCAAATGGATACAAAGAATACATCGAGCGTTCGTGCGTGTGACAAATTAATTTATCTCCTTCTATATATAGATTATATGTGTATATAGATTTCCGGGCGTTTTGTTAAGTATCGGCCACTTAACGAATCTCTTATACGAATCACCGTTACGTATAGCGTCGTTTCCGGTATACGTTGTTTCTTCGAGTATCCTTACTTTCATCCCCGATATTATAGCTCCTTCACCGCTAAGGGTTGGAACTGCACTTAACCCTCCATACTAGACGAGTGGTGGCTTTTTGCGTAGGAGATGAGATAATGGATGGTCTGGATAAACTTTTTTTACCCTCCTGTTTCTTCCTCTCATTCAGTTTCTACGGGAACAAAAAATTAGACAGCAGAGGATAATAGATAACACTAACCCACTAGACAGGACGGGGTCGAACTCGTAGAACCTACTTTCCTAATAGAGGTGTAGAAATTTTTTAAGAAAAGGAAAGAAAAAAAAAAAAAAAAGATAAAGGTGGAACTCGTCACAGGGTGAAATTTATTAATGTCAATTACATCGCAAACATCCCCCCCTTAAATTATGCCTCGTTATGTGACATCCCAATGGCAGCTAGAGGGCGAAGACTGGATACGGGCCTACCTGGTACCTTATTACCAGCCTAATAAAAAAAAAATGCTTTAAAGCCGCCGTAAGCCCATATATCGTAATATGCCTCGAAAAGGAATAGGACCATTTTGCAATTTTTTCATTTTCTTTCCTTTTCCTTTTCTACGACCCTTCGCTCTCCGCTTCTTTCATTCTTCCAGAACGGCTTTTATACGTACGCAGTTACCCACCCTGTACTCGCAGTCGTCCGCGGCTCTTCCGCGACCCGCTATGTATTCCTGGTACTGCGATATGACGCAAAGCAGTGAGTATACCTGTAAAAAAAAAAGAGTACAAAGCAAAATATTTGTATAGTCCATTACAGCTAATTCGAAGTAATAACCGTTACGGGAAGAGTGAACGAAGTAATCGTGTTTACTTACGTTGAGGCACAGCAAGAAGAAGTCTAGGGTGAAGAGCATGGCAGTGATGGGGTTGAAACGAAGCTGCAACAGAATTTATTTATCGTATTACCTGTAAGCTTCGTTAACGTAAGGTAAGGCTTTTCTTTTATTGTATCAAATCTCCATTATTCCGACCTCGTATCGGACATAAGGGAAATATGAGAAACGGGGCCAGCCACGTGGCGGAAATTATACGCGGCGCTGGGGAAAACAAAGAAGGGTCGACGGGAAAATCCCTTTTTCATAAAGCTAATGTACATATCGGTTCGTACGAGTCATGGTGTATGATACGTACAATCGAGTACAGTATTTTTATATCCAGCTGAGGTAAAGAAGGGAATGGAAGTTATTGCTCCCTCTGCAGACTTTGGTTTTTTCTTCCTAATATATAGAATTCCACGTGCAAACCTTCTATTTTAATACGTGCGTGAAGTGGGCAATGAAAAAGAAATGAATTCAGACGTTTGAAAATTGGACAGGTTTTCACGTACGTAAAGATTGGCGCGTGCGGGTATTTCGTAACATGTTTCCTCTCTACGTGTAACATATTAAACTTTGAAGTGGAGACACGTGAAAGTTTGTAGGAATCATTGAAAAATGTTATTGGCCTTAAAGGGCAAAGTGGTTTTCATTATTGTAAAAAGTTTTGCGACGTATGCTCTCTAGACCGTGGCAGGGTACAAATGGTTAGACAAAGTTCGGGGATGATACACGATTTGTTTGTGCTACCCGAGATACGGCGACGTCTCAGAAATACATTGCGGAGGTCCCTCGCGAGAATGCAACGAAGAAAATCGAATTTTCGGCAAACACGATAGCGTACCTTGCAGCATTATATTCGTCGAATTGTCGCGTAAGAATATCTTGAAGTATGCCAAAAGCATTCATCTTGTATTAATATATGTATACCGCACTGTGAAAATACTGACGGTATTGATTTCACGCTTGGAAAACATTGTAGAAATTTGTAACGACGAAGAATGTCATTTCAAATACGTTGCATCGTTAGGTGAACTAAATTATCAGTCCAAATACCCACGTGGATGTCTCATAGGTTATGTTGATTTATAAACGTGTTTTCGAAATAATTAATCCCTTTCTATCTGCTGTGCAACCGAGAGCAGCTTTTCAATTGGCAAACATTGAAGAGTGTAAATTAAATGTTAGACATTGATAAGACAAAGTTCAAGATAGGTAAAATCGTATTACCTGGAAGTATGTACCTAGTTTGACCTATTTTCCGCTTGGGTCGTTACCGATAAGGATATTTCACAAAATGCTGTACAGGAATTAATTGGCCGGTATGGAAGACGGTTAAACGAATACGGAAGAAAAACTTGAAAAGAAAAACCGAGGAATTTTCCTTTTCCCATTAGTGGCTTCGTGCCGGCAAGGTAACTTAATTTTCCTTGTTTCCGCTTCAGACAGGCCATCGTGGCGACGTTCGTCGTCGAGCAGCCGCCCGAGGCGGACGGAAGTTGCAACTAAAGCATTAACGAAGATTGCACCTACGAAGAAACTCCTGTGGTCGACCGTGACTCGCTAGCAACCTTGCTAGACGCCTACCGCTGTACCTAAGAGAGGGCAGCACCGTCGACGGAAAGAATTCTCCAAAGTTTTTCCATTCTCAGTTATCCCATCGCCTACAGTCCCTCGCAATATTTTCTCCCGCCCAGAAGCGGTCGGGAGTTTGTTCTCGGAAATATGTGACAATCATGCAAATTTCCTCTTCAAAAGCTTACCGAAATATTTACGTAATTAATCCTCGTCTTAGCACCAGCGGTCCGTCAAAATAGTTTACGTAGATAATTCAGCATACGGACTAAATGTTCTCCTAGTAACTAAACCGATAGGATTGTCAAACCCCGTTCACGTTGACACGCTACAAAGTTCCCAAGCTGCCCAGATGGCGCTAGTGAGCTAGGTGCGCTACACAACAATTAAGATAATTACCAGGACGTGGAGCGATGGGTTTGCGTGGAGAGTCTAAATTATTTAGACATGAGATATCTAGAGGGTTTAACGGTCCACTATCAATTTTTAGTACTTCTATCAGCGTTTCGTGATTATTAACGTGGAAGATATAACGATGACGTCACTTTTCTAATTTCACTCTGTCATCCCGACTCTAACGCGACTCGTAACGAGCGCTGGCTTTTTCGAAAAACACATAAATAGATTGCAAATTCCGACTGTCTTTCTCGTATAATTCCATTCTCGAGTTCTTATTCTCAGCTTCCAAGTAACATTACGCATTGAAGAAGGATCGCCTTGGGCGATGAAACTTTTCAGTTGGACGAAAGTACTATGGCAACCGTATTCAGGGACAAAGATCGTGGCCCGTAAATGCAGATTATGCGAGGCAAATGGAAATGTCAAAATATCCGGATTTACGCGGATATATTCGTCGCGCGGATATTGCAGCCACTTGCGGAAATTCGGAGGGAAACTTTCAGCCGGGAAATATGCACTGGCTGAGTAGATACGGCGATTGAGGTACGCGTATGCACGCTAAACCATAATACGTGTATTCGTAATTTAATCAAGATGAAAAAAAAAATACAATTTAGGACGCACTATGTCTGCCACAGAGATGACACTCCTATACAAATAACGCAAGTTGCTTTAGTAAGAATTAATTTTACGTCATCAAAATATAAAAGCACGAAAACGAATAAATGGGCGTGGAAATGAAATTTCTCGAATCCCCATGAGAAATTTATAACATGTAGATTTCCTCGAACCTAGCACCATCTCGAACCACGGCTATATTAGGTTAGGTTGGGACTCGGGTGCACGCACGTGTACTAGCCCCGTCACGTATTTGTTCGCATCGGCGACGACGACCGACAAATGTCGATACAAATTTTCTCGCACGAATGATCAAACGTCGTTTTTAGCCTACTAAAATCTATTCGACTCTCCCGGTTTCTTTTTTGCATTTTCCAAAGCATACAATGTCCTCGTAGGGACGTGGCAACGGTTATTGGTAATATCTTTTTTTTGCATTGAAGATCAGCCTTACCAGACCTGCCTATCCTTACATCGGTCAGCCTACATATATCCATATGAAAAACGTACCCGGGCAATATACAACGTACATATATGTATACATATATACAGCAAGAAATATGGAATATTTGCATTTTGACAGTAGGACAGATATAAAAGGAAGTATGTATAAAATGTATCAGGAGAGCGATTCGCGATATTACACTAGACCATCATTTCATACATATATGTATACATATATACACATTTATGCACCTATGCTTTCGACATTCCTTGCAGCGCACAGAGACGAGAGATTGCGACGTATCTCGTAATTCTCAAAAAATTCCGTTAAGCCTCTGTCTCAAGTGGGCGACATAAATTCGTTCCTCTTCCTTCCCCATTCTCAGTTACGTGACGCGGAACGGGAAGACGTAGGCCATGCCGGCAGGTGTATTATACTTGATGGACGTGAATTCGATTATTTTGATGGTACCTATTCTTGGCTGATTCCCCGCCGGATATTCCTTACGACTAGTTGAGACTTAGCGACGGGATCTTTTATACCGAAGATTGCTTTCTGATACGTCGGCTAATAACGGAAACGCGTCTAAAACTGTTACCGTTTCCTCGATCCATAATGGCGGAATCGAGTGTGTGTACATATATAGAATGAATATCGACTACTTGACATTTTCGTGGTACTTGGATTCGCAAAAAGTGCCAAATTCAACAATTCTGAACATTCGCCAATTTTTCGGGAAAAAGAAAAAATTTATGCGCGAAAATGAAAACTGTGCCGAAAGACATTTTCAGATAAATTACTTGACATTTCGGTGATCTTTTTTGACTTTTTTATGACTTTTGAAAATTACCTTGAGAAAAAATTCCATTTCTACAATATTCTATTATTTCGAAAATATCGCCTAACGTTCCTGGTTGGGTGGAGATCGGGCCTGGTCTTTTCATGTGGATTTGCTTTTAGTCTCTTTCTCGTAGAATCATTGTGGTTAGGACTGACCTCGAATGACGCGAATCGCTTCTATTACCCCATTTCAGTAGATTTCTGGTTGAACGTATCGAATGCGAAAAAATTGACGTTTATAGACGAAGGACACAGCTGCCGTTTAAAAATTTTGCAAACTCTTTGAATTTACAATGTAAACACAAGTACTTCATTGTGAAGTGTAGCTTTCGTGCGGATATACCAATGTCCAGGGAAATTAAATAAATAACATGTGTAACCAGCGGAGCTCACGGTGCTTGTTTCGCCAAATTAATGAGAAAACTTTTTAATTCACTTTTGGCCAGACGAGCGCTGGTCGCCCTGAAAAGAATTACCATAAATACACGCTACGTGAAATTTTCACCACCTTTTCCCTCCTCCACTTTCTTCTCACGATGCAATTCCATCAAATCTATTACACGTCGAATTTCCATTCAACGATCCGACGTATTATAGCCTTTGATACTAAATACGTAGGGATATTTATTCAGAGATATGTACATAGCAGGTTATTCAGCCCAAACGCACCACCTGATTATCATAGGACTCAAATAGGCGCGTTAACTTCAGGTGGTGCGTGTCTACCGAATAACCCTGTATACGTACACAAGATTATTCACGGAAAACGCATCACCTGAAGTTAACCAGTCGATTTCGATTTCTACGATAAAAAGCAAACTTTGGGTGGTGCATAAATACCTATATATACAAAGAGAGTTATTTCAGTATAAACGCCTGAAGATGGACTCTACCATAGAAATCAGATAGGCAGGCTAATATCAGCTGATGCGTTCGGCCTGAATAACCCAGCGCGTATACAGTCTATACGTATTAACTTACCGTGACAAAGAAGAACAGATACATCGAATGCGCGATGTCAATAAAGCTGAACGTAATTACAGTTAGGATCCAGGGTATCAGATATATCCTTTGATCCTGAAACAGAGGCAGTGCATTAGCATGAGATATGTGACGATCGATTTACGAGTGCATCGTCATGACGTCACGGTCGTTCGAGAAGTGGATTTTTGAAAATCCAAAAAAGAGTCATGGCTGAGGGGGGATGGGTCATAATTTAAAAATGGTTGTCCGCGAAATATCGTTAAAGATGTGCAATCATATAGTAATAAAAAATTGTTACACTTAAATTTTTTTTTTATATTAGGCAAACTCCAAACTTAAGATTTACACTTCAATCTCGCTAATTAGTCTCTAGTGCCGGGTCTTGAGGGAACAATTTTTTCACCCCAATTCCACGTGACCCGGTATATCTCCGTGGGTCGGGAGTGGCTTGAAAGTTTATTGATATATCCAACAGAGAGTTGTGTAATGCATATAGGGACGTGTATAAAAAAGAAAAGCAGGTTGATGAAAATAACAAGGCAATTGCGTGAGGGACATTTTCAATGTCACAAGACAGCAAGCCGAGTCGAAGTAAATTTGTTGGATCGTGAAGGTAGCTGATTTGAGGATGGACGAAGGAGTGTCGGTATGGTAATTATACCAATGAGCTAGGTGTTAATTGCGTTACGGAAGTTCAAACTGAGGATATAGATATAGTAAGAAGAATGAATAAGGGTCTGCGGAAGTAAGTAGTACGCGGCAATTAGAATTTACATTTGAATGTCGCCAATGAGTCTAAGTCGGTAACAGGGTACGTCGTTCTACTTACATAGCTCAAGGAACTCAGTGCTTAAGGTCGTTTTTACGCTTGGAAATGCGCAAGTATTTATTAAAGCGTCGAGCAGTGATTTTTCCCGTCCGTCACAGGTAGGCCAATTGGTAGTACCGACCCCCGGGTAAAAATTTCATGATAAAATAGGGGAGACACGTGGTAGGTCCTATCTGAAGGGTAATTTAACGGCAATAACGTATCTGGTATATAACGGGTGTACGGATTGGAAATTTTGGATTTTCTATAACGTTGATACAGGGAGGCGTCAATGGCCGTGAAGGTGCTCGGTGATCGATGTTTGACAATGCTGTCCAATCCAGGACGTAGTTGACGGTTCCCGTACTATTCAACGTACTTTGCGGATGTTCATAGTTGCGGCACGAGACGCTTCGCTGCCGACGAAAAGTTTTTGTCACATGGAACGAGGGGAATTATTTCTTATCGCACCCGTAACATAGACAGAGGCTCCACCCTTGAGCTGTATTGAAAACTTAATTCGTTGACGAAGTTCGTAACGTCATGCGATCTTTGCGCGCTGGCGTGGCCGATAACTATCGTTGGAATTAATTAACCGGTTCCATTGTACAGGCGTTAAATTAAACGTTAATTATCAGCCACCCCGTATAGTGACGGTAGGCAAGTTTATATCTGGGCCTGGCGAATATCTGTTCCGAGGATCGGATAACGAAGTTACTATCGGACGCAGCTAGTCTGAATAATTTTAACTTAGTTTGCCGAATCTTAAAGGGCTTATGTATAATTCTTATCTATGGTGCTGGATCCGTAGGAATCGTCCTGAAGGGGAATGCACAGTCTGTAATTTTGTGAATTTCACTGTTTTTTTTTCTTCTTTTTTTTCGAAAAGCATAGCTTTCACATTCGGGATGAAAATATGGTGCTAGGAGGGGGGAGGTTAACGTTAGGGGTGATCAGAGTTCGTAATTCTACTAATCGATTAATCGACCAGTCTTTGGCTATCGACCAGGAGAAAGACATCGCCGGTACTATCACTGAACGATTAATGGACACCACATCGGATACACGTGTGAACGGTGACTAGGGGTATATGTCGTATATGATATATATGTAAATATTTGTATAAAGGGATGAAAGTCCTGTTTGCGGGCTAAAAGGAGACGAAGGGGATGACTGACGTAATCCAAGTGGATTATCGTTGAAAAGAGTGAAATTGCGAGTAATTGCATGAATTTGACGAAATTTTGAAAAATAAAGTTGTTATACGATAATTGTGAAATTTTCGATGGGATCGATTTTACGAGATTCGTGGGTGATCGTGTATGACGGCTGGGCGAAAAATTGATAAAGTTACTAGACAAATATTAGGGTTGCGAAACGGTATACGAACGTGTGTCAATTTTTGAAGCAACAGTGTGTACACAGAGACCATTAATGGCTACGGAACCGTCTGACACGGGGAAAGCCAGTCGGGATCACATTGGCCGAGGGGGATAAAACTAGGTACTGCTAGGTAGGCTTTTTCCGTCGTTTCTCTATCAGTTTGCCGAACACACTGAAAACCGATAGCGTGGCTGGCAGATCTGGGGGTCGGAGGGCACGTTTGATTGGCGACCATAGAGAAACCGCCGAACGAAGTGACTACTGATACGTGAATGTTTCGTCAGAGCCGTAGCCGGGATCGGTTACGATTCGAAGTGTGACACTGATAACAGTGATAACGAAATTTGTTTCCTATGCGTAATTCGAGTTGTTGGGAAAATTCAGAGAAAAATTTTGTTCAAAATATATGAAAAATTTAACGGGCAAGAATTCTCACTTTTAGGAACACTCTCGTACTGTCTCCTCGCGCCCCAAACCTAGTGAAACGTCGCAAGACGCCCGCTGCTCGAGGGAAGATATTTAAATGCAAAACGAAGTACGCGAATTTTTCGAATCTGATTCTGTGGATTCGCCCTCCCGTGAAAAAGACAGGAATAATTTCTTTTTTTTTTTCCCACCTCGTCTTAATCGACAGCTGACGACTCCTTACCGATTCAGCACTCGCGCTCCCGAATCGTACAACTGGAAAATCGTCTGGCACTTGTTAACGCGCCAACGCGAAATGACATTTCTTTAAGTCGTGACGTTTCACTTTGACATCTCTCACGTTTCCTTCCATCGACTTTTATCGGCTGGCAAAACAAGAACATCAAACGTCAATCTTCCAACGAAAGATACGAGCCAAGTGCTTTTTCTTCTCCCTTCTAAATTTTTTTCTAAAACATTCTCATCCTCTTTTTCTCATTTTCACTTTCCAAACATTTCTCTAAAACGTACGTGCAAATAACAGCTGATTCGCCGTAATCCGATTTGGCACGATCGAATAGAAATTTTTCATCAATTTTCGAACACTCTATAATTACCCCGAAAAATCTTACAATTCAAATGACTGATACGCATCCCGGATTTATACAGTTATCGACGTGAGACTCATCTCGGCCTGTCAGAATCCCACGTGTAATTTTTACCTTCAAACAATTAATGAAATCGCTATACGCGATTCGAGTGACTTTACGTATTCCTTTCGCATCGGCAGAAAATCCACAGACTCCCATAACAGACACGGACGCAGCATTCCAGCAGCAACGAACTTTCGTAACGGCAAGAAAACTAAGGATCAATGTTACATAGGTCCAGCGGGAGCGTCTTATGATCTTCATAAATTTTCCGGTTACTGATAACAGTGATAAAGTTTCATAAATCGCACGACCAACCGTCAGCTTACATTCCACCTTATGAAATATACATATATATATATATATATATATATACACATGCATACAAGGCAAGTACGACAAAGCTATAAACAAACTCAAAAGCTTAACCAGTGTTTACAACTACGACGAATTATCCCGTAGTTCAGCATAAATCCCAGACACCATGTATAACCACGTACCAGCTTCAAGTGTATTATAGGCAGTGCATACATAGGTAAGTGATAATCGTAGGTCGTCCCCGTCGTACGAAAGGATTTCGATTGCTAGTTAAATGCCTGCGGTGATTCTGGCTACACGTGTAATTTACGTATTCGCAAACTCGGCGCGGCTTTACGCAACTCATGCATGGGATACGGGGAAATGGCGTAGCCATCCCCGCGATACGGTAAATTGCATTGGCCCTTGTCGGCAGGGAGCTATTCCCGTTTATTTAGGATAAACTAATAGACGCCACTAGGTAGATACAAGAGGAGGGACGTGGTACATGGGGGAATGGGATGGGGATATATATATATATATATATATAACAGCATCCCCATCCCCTATATATACACACACAGTAGTGTGGAGAAAGTCGAGGTAGTAGGTCGGAGAGTGAGAGTAAAAGAGAGAGACGTACAGATCGAAGGAAAGAGAAGGAAAGAAAATCATTTGACGTCGTATATATATATATATATATATATATACACCCATACGTAAGGATTTAGTTTGTCGTAGCATCGACACGGAAACACGGCTTATGGACTCGGATATCTCAAATCCTGATCTACTTGTTCCCTGTTGTCAGTGATCAAGAGATTTTATAGATCGCCATGTGCGTTTGGCATGATCTCCGTTCAATGGAATGGAATTTTTCGCGATAACTCAAAAACAGTCAAAGACCCGGCTGCTCGTGCGATTTTTATTGTCCGACTGTGTAATTTGGTAGTAAAAAAATTGTTTTCGAAAATTTTTATTTTTTCGTAAAAAAAAAAATTAAATCTTAGGCATATACTTACGTTACCTTAAACAATCCGTATAACAGTAGAAAGGAGCAGCACACGCCGCAACACGAGCACGTCAGCAGTGTTACGTTGAATCTGACGGTGGCTGAAAGCACGTGGAGTTTTAGGATAAATATTTTCTTTTACGTTTATTTTTATTATCCGCGCACTGCGTCGCTTCTCGTGTTATGTAACCACCTCCGTATACTCACTCGGCGATATTGTCTGGGGTTCGAGGAAACTGGACGATTGGGGCTCGGTACGATTTCCTGTAAGATACTGGCGTTCCTCTTGGAGAACAGCACCGGTCATAATGGCCGTCAGGAAGAAGTAGAGCTGAAAAAACGAAAGAACAAAATTAATCAAGAATTTTCGAAGAAAAAGCAGTCTGGTTTCATCGTTCACTGATCGGATGGCAGGGCTTGTAAAAGAAAAGGGTAATATAGATTTTTCGTCTATTCAATTTTCGGGTCTGATCCCATTGCGACGAATGCGAATTTCGTGGGAATCGGAAAGTTGATTAATTTGTCATTCTACCGTTTAAATTTCCCGGTACGGAATTTAATTTGCGGACGGTGCGAAACGAGTGTCTTAAGTTGGTAAAAGCTCCCGCCGTCGCATGAGATTCGAGAGCTGCTCGAGTTTAATTGGTATTAACGAACCCGATCGGAAAGTTATTCGTCGAAAGTTAAATTAAATCACGTATGCGGATATACGACAGACGCGAAGATACGAGATCGAAGAGACGGGAGCCGAATATCGTTTGACTTTTGCTTTCAGAAGTTGGTGCTGAACTACGTAAACTAGTAATATACTGTAAGCTCAGAATTTGAATTATACATTCGTTTGAGAAAGCACGTAGACACCGTGCTCTTCCTTATAAATACATGCCCGTGTGTCTGTGTATACATATCAGCTGATTGATGATACCGATCCTTTGTTCCGTTCCTAAAGTCGAGAAAGGAAAGCAGGATCGATGAACGCTTCGCCCCGAAGTAAAAACTTTAATTCAGCGTCGGAACTGCTTTTTATTTTCGTTCCAAGTAGCGTGTAGCGCGGTTGATATACTTAACGGCGGGGAAAATTTTGAACGAAGCCAGGGGTGAAGGTATATGGCATAAGGGGGAGAGAAGGGAAGAAAAAAAAAAGGGTGTACCGTGAAAGATAACCAATATCAACCAGCATCGGCTGCTTCCGGAACGTGAGGTAGCCGGAAGGTCGGCATAGATGTAATTTGCTGTTTATTTTATTTCCCCGATGACGTCACTGCCTCTCGGGCCATATACTATACGTTTGCTTTTTTTTTCTTTTTTCCAATGCCCTCCCCGCACTTGATCTTGTCGTTGCCTTATACCAGCCTCAAAAGAGACCAACGGGCTACACACCAAAGCTTCCACTTGTTTGAGTCTCTGCCTCCCATAAGTCAGCGGTTAGACAATCCGGGTCCCTGCGTCAGCCGAGGGTAATTGGATTTCTTGTTTGACTTCGGCGAGTTCGTCTACCGGCGGCGTAAGGGATGAGAGGATTGGCAAGGGTTGGAGATTTCATTTGTCCAGGTAAATATCTACGCCCGGAGATACGAGGTCGTGAATCGACCAAATAATAATGTCGATTGCACAACACGGAAGTACAGTCCTCGTGGCTTACTAGGTTATGGCGGATAATTCCATCAATGCCTTGCGTAAAAATACTATTTGACTCTCAATGGTTGGTATTAAGATTAAATTAGTGATCATTCGTTGTCGATTTTTTTTTCATTATTTATACACCTCCACGTTAGCGCTTGGAATCTCCGAAAATAGCGTGTACTCGAGGATACGACTCATATGTGATTAATGGCGTCGATGTAACGAGCCACGACGCCACTGCAGGTAGCGGGAAAAATGTGCAGCGTTAAAGTTTTACGATTTACTATGCACGAATATAGAGAAAAGAGGCTCGTGCGAATGTCAATCGTGCTTAAAATCAGTGCCGATTCGCTGATAACAGCCTCGGGTACGCTGACGCAATGAGAAAATATACGTAAATAATTTGGATTATCATTATTTACAGTTCTGCTAAAAAAAAAAGGTACTATCAAGACTGAAGAAAGATGGATAAAGAGTGGATGTGGTTTGGATATGTTTAGATTTTTTTTTTGTTCAATTTTCTATACTCGCCGCGAGTGCGAGAGAGACGGACTTATGGGCCGTTCCATGAGGGAGAGAGAGACAGACATATCGGTAGCACCAAAAACTCGGTTTTCACACTCCGGTTCGTAGTATCGACCGTTCGACGATGATTTTCGTTAAAATTACGTAAAAGCCATCGAAAGCCAACTCGCGCGTTTTATCCGCGTATAATATCCGTGTAGAACAAAATGGGCAATAACCGGAAAAAAAGGAAATTTCTTATCGTTCGGCTCGGTGCCGACGTTTTTATTCAGCCTCGTAGCAGCTTCGTAAAAATGGACTAATACAAGAATGCCCGTACAGCGTACACGGAGGGTGGCAGTAAAAGTGCCCGTTCGCATAAGCGTATGTGTTTACGGTCTTCTCCCAGCGGTATATACTAATGGCTGCAGCCCTTAATCTACAGCTGATTATTCTGGAGGGTCGAATAGCGAAACGTATGCAACGGGTCCAAGGAGCGTTTTCACGTAAAAATTTACTTCATTTCTTTTCTACGTACTGTTATGGCATACGCCGCATTGTGAAACACATCTCTCCGACTCATCCAGCAAGCACTTCGCAATGATACCCAGGCTAAAGATCACATCCTATCACTCGACATACCTTGACTCACCCTAGACCACATTACGCATCTCCTATACCTAATATACATACACCAAAGTGCATTTCCGCAACCTTTGACACGTCTACCCTAAAACAAATATTTCCCTACCCCCTCTAACCTGCGGATTTTCGACTATATATACATCGGAGCTAAATGCACGATATGCTCGGTCTTACTCTAAACTCCACGACAGTCACATAAAGTTATTACAGTAAAGATCCTGCTGAAACATAATGCTCGAAGAAATGAACCCTTCGAGGTCAATGCTCCAAGTGTTCCTGCTCATTTCTTCCGAGGAAGATCTCCCTTCGAATATCATTCGAAATCCGAATCCCGAGGCCTGGAGTTTCACGCTACAGATAGCTTGTCCTAAAAACCAAACTATAACGGTACCAAAAAGAAATTTCCAAATCCAAAAAAAAAATGTTAAGTGCACGGTTGTAAAAATTAGAAAAAATTTTTCATTTTTCTTACCTATCAAGACTTTCAATTCAGCGTATCTTAATTTCAAACGCGTCTCAAGTCTTTCGCAACGTTACGCAATCGCCCAAAGGCGAAAGCGCACAAGGCAGAAACCACGTGACCACGTAGATCCGATCGTTAATTCGCGGCTCGTCAAATCACCCGACTTCTTCGTAAATACGCTTCCGACAGAAGCATTATGGTCCTGGGCTCGTAGGATCCTCATAAAAATTCCTCAGAGATTCGTGCGACCACCTTTTGAATTTCTACCAGTCAGGCGTAATGACGTCATCGCACGGCATTTTTCGTGATGACGCAATAAAGAGCGACGACAAATTACCGAATTCGTGTGAACCGGCAGGTTAGCGTCCCTAGTGCGTAAGCGGATTGTTGATAGAAGGACAAAAGAGACAAAGCCAAAAGGATGAAAGGAGGTGGTAGGAGAATGAGTAAAAACGTAGAAAGGTGATACGAGGGACGATAACGATTTTTGAAACTTTGACAGCGTACAAACTTTGCGTACCAACCGGATCGAAGGGAGAGAATTAAAAAAAAAATTTATCAACATTATCTGAAATAATAAAAATCACAGAGTTATAACTTCGAAGGAAATGCAATAACGTGCCAGAACAATGTCTCGTATATAAGTCTGTATACCCTATATACAGGGTGACGGGATTTGCATACGTTTTCTTTAACAGTATTTTTTTTCACCCAAAGTCCCTTCCTTATGGCAACGACGCTTCTTAACCTTAATATCTGACGGCTACGTAACCCCTCGTCGACAAAGACACTTTTTCTCCTCCTCCTCGGATTTTGGGATTTCGATATCAACCCTTTCCTCAATCTCATATCCTCCCTCAGTTTAATGCTAGTCCGTAATTTACATTGAGGAAACAAATTGCCACCCGTGGTACAAGACGTCCTACGTCGTCACTGACGTCACACGAAGCACCTTCCTCGAGAGTAATGAAATAATTAACAATAAAAAGGTACAGCCACAGTTGGGCAATGTCGCGTGCACAGAACATTTTGGAAATCTCAAAATTTATTTTCATTAAAAAAAAATCAAGAGTATCAAAAAATCAAGATACCCCTCACCACAGAGTATTCCAAGAGAATTCCAAAGGAGTACCGCCGAGTCACGAAGAGCCAAATTTCAAAATGGCCTTGAAAAAAAAAAATAAAAAAAAAACCTCGATCGATCGGTGACTCGACGAATTGAAAAAGGAGCAGTGTGATATCCCTGATATCAGTCATTGCGTCATAATCAGTGCTACGGGTGTATTAATCCTCCAGAGAATTTCGAGACTCCGAACAAACGGAGTTACCCTAAACATACCTTTGTCTTCGTATACCCATCATCAATTCTCGAAGCAACCAAGTATCGAGCCATTCGAGCACAAGCAATAAACTATTAAGCCGCGACTTTTTGACATCGGCTGAATTGCCTCCACGTTATACCGGTGAGTAATAATATGTCAGAAACTTGGTCTGACCCCCCCCGCCCCGGGGGGGAGTGATCCTGATCTGCCAAAGTACTTTTCGATTCGGTCCCTTCGACCGGTTAAGTGTCGAGCCTTAACGAGTTTTACGAGCTAAAAAAAAATCGGTGTACAAGTTTACACGAATGTACTATGTCCAATTTAATTCAATAATCGCATCGAAATAGCTACAGTGTAAACGACGTACGTAAGTGTAAAATTTGCACCTGTATGCCTGTGCAAAAATAAAAAAAAAATCGAATGCCCTTTTAAATTTTCCCCCGCCTAATAATTTCGAAGCTCCCGTAAAATAAATATTCAAATTTTTCGATGCCTGTCGTTTCTCCTCCAGCGCCGTCAACGGCTACCGCAACAGCAATTTTATGGACTATTCCACTTTGCCGTTATTGTGTAGGTAGGTCGGTACGGCCGACGGAGTTAAAAACTTTACTGCCGTCGTCGGGTCCGGGGTTAGCGCCCGTTAAAGACGACGCCCCGAGAATCGAATCGCTTAGTTTATATCGCTCGACGCATAAGTTGTTAACGGCTATCGACCTTTCCTCGTGCCAGCCAATCCTCCCTTGCTATATATTTTAACGATGATTGGATCCGCGG